ACTGTTTTCTCTTACGTTATAATTATTGTGGTCGGTACTGTATTCTTAAACTAGCGTCAAATGCATTACGTAATTTACGACCAGACTAAAGTATTGAAGTCACTTCTGATGTATGGATGTATGTGTGTTTGTTTGTATGTACAAGGTAGCCATTCATGGCCAACCAAATCAATATTAACCAAGGACAAGATACTTGATTATCAACAACTACAGGAACAGGATGATGTGCAGTGATGCATTGCCTGTGGCGACTGTCCTGTTTATACTATTTATATGTATGTACGTATGTATACCATATACATATATGGAATCTTACTTCTATTCCATACTCTATTTTTAATATATTGCCTTGTACTGGCCAAAGCAATCAATTAAATGAATATCTTAGCACACTACCCAGTATCTGTCCAGTTATATACCATCGATGCATGCGTAAGGACATTGAAAGATATATGTATGTATGCGTGTGTGTGTGCGTCCTTGTTTGTAATAATTGCTTAAACAATTTATTAGGAATTCTTCTTAAATGAATTCTATAAATTACCCTTCTGCTCGATACACCACACTCATATTTTATCTAGAATTTGTTGTAAAATATTCAATCAATTCTCTTTAAGGCATCTTTAGTTGAAAAAATAGAAAAAAAAAAAAAACAGAAAACAAATAGAATTGCATGGATATAAATTGAGCTCGGGCGAGGGACGTTTGAAAAGTTCGAAAAATGCCCACATTTTGTTAAGGGTAAACGTAATGGAAGAGCGACATGTTAATATGGGATCGAAAAACTAATGGTAAATCTAAATGGCAACCCTTCTGAGTTACCATTTTTTAATAAATAAAAGCTGGCAATTGTTCTACTAAGCCTTACCCGCCCAAATTTGGGTAGGATAGAGTTTTTAAAGATTTCGTCATTGCCCACCATTTTGGTTTCCTTTCCCTATATTATTCGGTACAAGACGCGTTTCTAGTAAAAAAAATACCAAAACTTGTAAATTTCTCTGAAATAGATATTTCAAAAAAAGGAAACAAAATTTTAATGTAATAGACTCATAAGATCAAGTGTTGGGTGGAGTCCCTTTGTTAAAATTTAAATGGAATTACATCCTTGTAATAACAGCCCTCTTCATAATTTTTCATTTATTTTTTCAAATAAAAAATTTTAGTTGTAAATTGGAAACCACATAAAAATAACACAATTTACAAAATGTAAATAGACAATTTATTTATTTTTTATCTTAAATGCCAACTCAACATAAATTACATGTATCGTTGAAAGGCATGGGTATATCCGAATTGTGACAAACATTACCAGTAATGGGTAAATGCCAAACTGATTGTCAGTGGTCTGTGAACGACCTTAAGAGATAAATGCACATCAATTAATTTATATTTATGTCACAAGAAAGAATTGGTTATACATCCAATTCTGCAACTCTATATTATGTGAGTTTGCTAGAATGTCAAGACACTTTTTCCACAACTACCAGTAGCATTTTTTATAGCATACTTCTAGACGTTCCTCAGAAATTTTAATCTAAAAAAACGCTTTATGAGTAATGTTTAGCATTCTATAATGTACCCTTACTTTTAATTGTAAAAATTTTTGGGAGCTCCTTAAAGTATGTTGTAAAAAAGTAAATATAAAATATATAAATGTCACTTTACATATGACTCTAACATAATGTGTATTCGGGCCTTATGAGATTCGCCCAATATCATTGCATTTGGTGTAGGATGCATTCGGTTATTAATTGTGGAAATTTTTATTTTGCCATGCCTCATAGAAATGAAAACAAATTGCATTTACGTCGATGTTTCTACTTCGTCGTCGTCCAAAATTTGTTTAGATGTGATGAAAAGTCTCTCTAAAATATTACTTACAATTCAAATTCAATGCACAAACTAATTGCTGCTCTAGCATAACAAGATAATATTTTTAAGGACTGTTCGAGGACTTGCATAAATCTGGCCAAGGAGTTGATGAGTTGAACATGAGTTGAGATGAACACAGAAAAAATGTTATCTGAGTTGTTCAGCTGATTTAGAGCGGACAATGTCGAGAGAGGCTCATATTGTGTGAGGATGTGTAACTCTTCTTTCATCGAATCGAATTTTGCCAGGACAAAAATCTAAAAGGTGGCATCTTAAAACTAGGTTAAACATCATGTGAGGGTCATTCAAAGTTGACTCACTTTTTTACATATATCTTTTTTTTTACTCAATTTGTCTCTTAGAGCAAACTCTCACTCTATTTCGAGCAAATCCGCTTCCACTCTAACTGTCAACCGGGAGTGACTCGGGAACGCTTCCGCACAAAAGACCGAAGAGTAAACTCCTCTATATAAAACTCCCGAGTGAAAATTAACAAATCCGTGCTCTGTACAGTAATAATAAGACACCCTAAGGCCTTTTAAATTGGAGATCACAGATGTTGCCTAAAAGTATTTTCCAAATATTCTGAACGTAATCTGGAAATCACTCTAGCTTTCGAACGAAATGAAGAATGTTGATAAGATTTTTCCCTAATGTTTATTATGTCTGCAGGACTTTGGTATGGAAAATGGGTCATGTAGGTCTACATTTTGGTATAGCCCCCATAAAATGGTACCTCCCTTTTTTCGGTATTTTTGTGATTTAAGCAACATTATTTACCGGAAATGTTTTAAATTTGGTATTTGAAGTTCGTAATAAATACTATAGCCTATGACAGAAAATTGTCTGTGCAGGTCCACGTCTTCGTATAGCCCTCATATAACGGTAGCTCCCGATATTCGGTATTTGGACAATTTTAGCGACATTATTCACCGAAATTAGCATTTGAATATCGTAATGGCTTATGGCATATAACTCGTTTGCATTTTCATAAAAGCCAAAATGTATTATCGCAAGCCAGAATGGGTGATAGTACAAGATCCTTGCCAGACATTGTCAATATAGGAGTAGGTTTTCGGACCTTGATTCTTATTCTGTGAAAATTTGATTTGGTAAATATTTTCTTTATACATTCGAAATTTCCCTCATTTTTGTTATAGTTTTCATTTTATATTTTCACAGAACAAAAATGAAGCCCCAGATTCATCAACTTTTATTCCTACCCATCAAATTTCTGGACATTTAAGAAATTCTCATTCATCGTTCTGCCAAACATCCTGAAATTTTCTCCCGAACAGTCCTTAACAAATTCCATTATATATTAAAAGAAACTGGAAAAAATCACAGAATAAAATCAACATCAAATATAAATTTTGCAAGAAAATGTCGAGTGCAAATATCAGAAAACTTTTATTCATATGAATTTCCATTCGTATAATAAATCGAAAAATAACACAGAAAAAAAAAAACGAAAACGAAATACCGAAGAATATTCTGGTAATTGAAATAGTAGTGTGTCCATTCTTTTATTGGAAAATTAACAACATTTTCACATGGTATGGATATAATTGAATAAATCTCTGAAGATGCTGAAGATGTATCTTTGGAATTTGCTTTTTTTTTCGATTAAGTCAAAAAAAAAGAAGGAAAAATTGTGGATTGCTTTAATTGATGTATGTCAGGCATTCGAAATGAATTGTGATTTAATGGAATGAAATAATAGCTTGTTGGACTTGTTAAGATAAGAAATTTTTAAAATCTCCAGAATGTGATGTAAGTGTTGCTCTTTTGTTTTGCTCTCAAAAGCCATATTTCCTGTTCTTTTAAACGCTAATTGTTATGACCATATTATTGAGATTTATTAACTTAAAACCGCCTGAAAGTATGCCTCACTAAGAGTGATTTCCTTAAAAATATGCTTCCGTGCCTGCCAGCCTGGATGACTAGGCGCTGTGTTATTATGGTTGCCATAGCTTCATTTTAATGCGATTAAAAATTAATATTGTTATCAAGAAAGTAAAAAAAAAACGGCAAACAGTCTATTTTTCCGGACCTCATCTCCCGTTTCATGCGCGGTGAAGTGAATGGCAATTAGCTTCATTAACATTGTTGCCTGCTCCCACCATACCTTCTTCTTTTTCTCTATGGGTGTTGTTGTTGTTATTCTAATATTAGAGAGAGAGAGAGAGAGACAGAAAAAACATCACCATGGCCTGGGAGAAAAATGAAAGGAAATAACAAAACGCCCGAAAGAACACAAAAAAAAAAACAGAACTTTCAAGGACACTTGAAATATCTGTGCACATTAACGTTTGTGCTTTTGCGCTTTTCTGCGAAATACAGCTTCCTCTTCTAAACGGTTTCTAAGGTGACTGGCAAGGTAATTTAAGAAGTTTTTTCCTTTGCTTGTTATAGGTCTACACAGATGGTCATTTTTTCCTTGACGTCGGCGGTGGGGGGTAGCGCACGGGGTATCACACTAAGACATATTACATTTAAGAAGCTCAAATTATCAGGCAATACCTTTGGACCGGTTCTTCGATCGTAATTTGTCAATTAGCGATTGCTGTTATGCTGTTTTCTGCTTACACAGCAATAATAATAATCGCCGTTACTTGGCTACAAACTGCCAAAAAGAAAGCGGGAATAAGAAAATTAATGGAATATTTATGCTATTCGTTATATATTTTTGGAGAAATTTTGAAGAAAATATTTCAATTAAGTTGAATTCCTTACAAATTAGTTGGGCGAACCGAAAACATGAAGATATTCGATTCATCCTTTCGCCTTGGCTCCGTGCGGCTAGGAAGAGAGTTGTTTTAATTAAATTGAAATGGAATCACGATTTGCTCCAAATGGTTGTTCCTTACCAATTTCTCGTTTCTCATTCTTCGTTTTCGTCTTTGCCCACCTTTATGTTTAACATTTTCAATTATCCTTATCTACCTTGCACGTGGAATGTCTTGTTTTCCCAGTGCATTTGTCGGTGTGTAGTGGTCGCCATTGGAGATGGTGGTGTTTGTTGTTGATGTTGGCTTTAAATAGCAGTTTGATTTTTAACAGATTTCCCTTTTTGGTATGCCCATGTCTTTTCATCTACATTTTTTCCATTTCCATTTTCATTGCAGGCTTGATTTTCGTCCTAAAAGCGGCATTTACGATCTACAAATTAAAAATGCCTCCTACGCCCGTGACAATGGCCGCTTCGAGTGTCGCATTAAGGCCAAAGGCACAGGTGCCGATGTGCATCAGGAATTTTACAATTTAACTGTGCTTACGCCGCCACATCCGCCTGTCATATCGCCCGGCAATATAGCCGTTGCCACCGAAGATAAAACCATGAAATTGACATGCAGTAGTATTGGTGGTTCGCCCGATCCAACGATAACGTAAGTATACACTCGCAACATTTTTACAGCTGGACATTTTTGCATCCTCCGAGCTGCAAGGCCTGCAATTGTGTCGGTTTATATTAAGTCGTCGTGGTCATTTAATTGAAATAAAAGTCCTGCCAACCGATCGACTGACCGACCAACCATGGAGATGGTGTTTTGCTTTATGCTTCATTCGGTAGCTGTGAGCCACTCATTGAAAGCCAGAAATGGGTCCCGAGTCTGCCGTTACATGTATATTTTATGAGCTTCTTGAAAGCATTTGTGTCTTCTCGACTTAAACAGCGTTCGGTTTTCCATTTTCTTTGCCACGTTTTCTCGTTGTCTTTTGGCCCGTTATATGTGGGCCGGGATAAACCTTACGCACGCACACGCACACGCACGCTCTACGTGCCATTTTAATTTACGCCGTAAACCGAGAATGAGAATATAATAAAAATTAAAAAATAAGACAAACAACGACAAAAGAAATTACATTGCATAATAAATTTGGCACTTAATTCCCTTATGATGACAGCAATGCTATCCGCTATCCGCCATCCGAAAAGTGTGATATTAAATAAATGGCATAAATTTCGTTTCGTTTCATTACCACAACTACTACTCGGAACAGAAAAGAAAACAGCAGATATTATGACGAGCGGAATCCATGTCTAACAGGGATCGGAGGCACTACACAAAAGGAAGTGCAAAATAAATACACATGTCAGTGTCTCTGTGTGTGTGAGTGTGGGATATTAAAAAGATATCCAGAATTTAAGATGAAAATAATGAGAAAAATGGAAAAGAAAATGTGATGATGCAAGGGGATGTGATTGATACGGACAGAGAGAATTGTATTAAAGTTGGAAAGTAACTGCAATTAAATCCTTTACATAAGAACTATATGAATACATATATAAAAAAGTAACTGACGGGAAAATCATCAACGTCTAGCCTGATTGATATGATATATGACGCAACATTACATAAATGCCAGTTTCCACATCGGGTTAGAGTCACATGTAAAGTGATTTGTTTACGTTTTATAATAAATTTTTTTGCGGTACGGGTGAGATAAAAAACAGCAACAAAGTCAAACGCCATAATTTTTAATTTTTTTTTTTTTTAATTTTATTGAATGAAAGCAAACAACGTCAGAAATAGCATAAAATTTTAGAATAAGTTTCGATTTGTTCGAATTTGTCACGAATTGGCACGAATGGACAATTAAACCGTCACACGCTGCCCAAATGTTGCTCTGCGGAATTTTGGCCCATTCCCGGCGAAGCGCTTGCTTGAGGTGATCCACACTTTGGTAATTTTTAGTGCCAACCGGAGATTTTGGTGGCCAATGTGTGCTCGAAATGAAGCGAGGAACCTTGGAATGTCCAAGGTCTGCGGCCAAAATGTTTGTGTGTCCAAGGCTTTCACACACTCTTCAGAATATTTTCGCGATAATAATCGGCATTTATTCTGATGCCATGGTCGATTAATACGAGCGGAGAGCGACCATCGGCTGTTATGGCGGCTCACACCATCACCATGGCCGGCGCTTGAGTTCTAGTGTCCAACCGACGGTGCACATTATCAGCTGACTTCTTTGGCAAGTAAACACGATCATTTTGTTTGTTTACAACCTGCTGGACAACAAATGTTTTCTCATTCCGCAGTTCACCACTTTCGGCCAAGCGAAGCAACTCCTTAACTCTTTTGAGTCTATTTTCTTTCTGTTGCGGTGATAGTTCTTGCACTTTTTGGAATTTCAATGGCTTTACCCGAGCTCATTTTTCAATATTTGCCGAATAGAATATTGCGATTTGTTCAGCTCACGAGCCATTTTACGGCCACTGCGACGCGGGTTTCGATTAAGTCGCTCCTTTACTTTTCGAACCATTTCTGCTGATGTTGCTGTTTTCTTCCATCCACTTCCTTGACGTCGGGCTACGCAACCAGTATCACGGTAACGAGTGATGGTACGAGACACAAAAGATTTATTCTCATTTAAATGCTGGAGTGCTCTAGCGAAAGCCACTTTTGGTTTTCTAGTCAAATATAAAAAAATCACACTATCACGCTTGAATTCCATCACGAATAACTTTTTTTCTGGAAAATTCTCACCAAAATATAATGAGATGTAACTGGAATAATTTTAACAGCTGTCGGACGTTGGTTGCAGTTTTTTCATCTCGTCCTGTAATTTTTGAAAATAAAAGTGAAAAAAAAATAAGTTTGATGGAGAACATTTACGTCTTCTTCGTTATTCTTTAAAGATAATAGTGTGTGTCTCGTGTTTTTGTTTCAATAATATCGATTTTGGACGAATAATAACAGATTCTAGTTTTTTCACACTCTCATAAGTATTTTACCCTCCTATAATATACATTTCAAATTAAATTTAACCCGTTTGTAAAAAAGAACCAAAACAGCCACAGAGAGTTAAAATTCCAAACATATATTTTCGTGGCATTGTTTTTTTATTTTATTTATTTATTATTTTTTTTTTTTTTTTGATATTGTCAAACATAATTTCTTGAAAAAAGCTTTAAAAGGAACATTTGAAAAAGATCTGAATATGAGGAAACTGTCAAAATTTCGATGACATCTATCATCTATTTATACTTCCTCGAAGGATCATTTCCGTGTAATTATTTAATTATTTTTGCATGATACACCTTCTTCATGTCTTAAATCCAAAGCAAGATATATTTAAATATCTCCGGGTAACCTTTAAAATATCATTCAGCTAAATTTTTCTTGAAAAGGTCAACTTGTCACATTTAAATTTATTTTTCAACTTTCTTGCTTGCCTTTCGTATTTTTTCTCCCCCTTTGTTCCCTAACTACAATCTGCCAAGAAATGTCTTAGGTGTCAGCCCTCCTCCCAAGTTTCTCAAAAATTCTGTGCAATTAATGTAGATAACTTCATATTTTGTATCCTTTTTGGTTGCTGTCCGTCTATGCTTTGCATTACATAGTTTTATAATGACCTTTAATAATTGCTAAAAGTTTTCCCAGTAGTTCTTCCTTTTGCACTCCTTGTGTTTTTTTTTTTTTTTATAGAATGGTAAACTGTTGCTGTAAAGTCATTAACAAACTAAAGTTTCATATCACTCCGAATGGCAGCGTCGGCGACGGCCAGCGCAAAGGGTTTAAATTCAATTTTAATATTAGTTTAGAGTCACAAGTCCTTTCTCCTCGACATCGCTACGACCGACTGCATTTAAAAGGACAATTAGATTTCATTTAGCGAAAACTACTGAGCGAGAGAGAAAAAAGAACAATTTAAAATTATGCTCAACGGAAGTGTCCAAAAAATTTGAAGCAGCACAAAGCGCTCAATGTTTGCCAAAATAAAGAACAGAAAAAAAACGGCGTTGCTGATTTTCCCTTTTTCCTGCATTTCCTTTGCCAACAAAAACAACAGCAGCAGTAAGATGTGTTGCAACAAAAACAAAGTTACACCAAAAAGAACTTTAAAACCAAACCACATACTCTTGTGTGTTTGTCCGCCACACACACACAGACACACACTCTCGCTTACATATTTGCAAACAAATATTCTGGCAGAAAATAGGGGGATAAATACTAAATGAAGAGAGACACCAAAACAAATGGAAAATACAAATAAACCCGAATGATGCCACTTAACGATATCAGCGCACACAAAAAAAACAAGAAGCAGTACATACATACAATAACATTAACGAGCAAAACAACAACAAGAAGTACAACTATTTCGGCAGCCAGTGATGATGATAAAGTATCCACTTGCAGGCTGGCTAACAGTCAGACACAACATATACGGCACATTCTCGGGAGGCAAACATCAGCCGTGGCCATACCATTAGTTCCATGAGTGCCGGCCACCCATGTCCAACACTCCCAAACACTATCAAAGCAACAAAAATCCTGTTATGTTGTAGTTGTAACATTTTTGTTGTTGCCATTATCCGTGGCAGTGTTGTTCGGCGGTCCAAACGACGAAGCGGCCATGTAAAATCATTGAAAAAAAGATACGAAATAATTTTTCATGTTTTTGTTTCATTTCCGTTTCACGTATCTCTATCTTTACGTTTATTTTTTGTCGGCCTTTTTTGGCTAACGCTCTCTGTTCCCGTTTCTTATTGTTATTTTTTCTCATTCCTCTTCTTCTTTTTCTTTTCTTTTTTCATGTACAGCTGGTATCGCGAAGGCAGCAATGCAATGCTGCAAACTGAGGTACTCAAAGGAGGCTCAAAGGATCAACCCACCAATGCAACGTTAACCATTGTGCCACGTCGCGAGGACGATGCTGCCAAATACAAATGTGTTGTTTGGAATCGTGCCATGAACGAGGGCGAACGTTTGGAAGCCACAGCCACGTTAAATGTTAATTGTAAGTAAACTTTTTATGTTATTCTCTTCTTCGTGGTGGGTTGGCTATTTCATTTTCAGCGGGGGTTTTGGCCAACATTTGCCATGATTTTTTTTTTGATACATTTATCAAAAATATTTAAATTTTATTTCAAGGAAGGATATGTTATGTCCAGAAAACAATTCGAATCATTCCCATTGAAAAACTGAGCCTCTTCGTCTTTAGAAGTCAATTTGTAGAACATCCAACACAGCTTTATTAAAAAATGAAATAAATAAATAAATAATTGCTGTACATACATGCATATATATATATATATATATATATATATATATATATATATATATATATATATATATATATATATATATATATATATATATATATATATATATATATATATATGCATGTATATATATATATGTGTGTGTACAAAACTCAAAACTCTTATATACTTCTGTTATTAGCTACCTAATTATCCTTTTACGTTCTATCTTTTGAATGTGCGGTCGAAGAGTAGAAAACTTCCACACTTTGTTTTGTTATTTCATTTGTTTTCCCATGACACTGTTCCCCACCTCCGCCAAACAGTCCATGGCCACATTTCGAAATTAAAAATCATGTCCATGAGTTAACGTTACATTTAAATCCATTTAGAGGTTGCGCCCAATAATCATTGTTCTACACCAACACACACACACACGTTAGCTAATTATAAATACCCTTCAGAAAAAAAGAGTAGTACCGCAGTGCTGCTCGAGTACTCGCCAAGCGATACCGACCACTCGCTCTTCATTTCCCCGTTAACGGTAAGAGCTGCTGACTTTTACACTGGACTGTCGTGTGAAAGTCAGTACTCGCTTTTGCAGCGCTCTGTGAGGGGTGAGCGACTGCTGAATTTTGCATCAGTCGCCATTGAAAGAAAGTAACTGAACATACTGCACGAACGAAATTATTCGCATTGCCATTGCGAATAATTAAAAGAATGAAAGACAGATTTTGTTTTCATTCAGCTATTTTTATTTCAAAACAATATTAAATTACAAAATAGAAATTAAGTAAAATATATATAAAAATATAAGTAAAATATATATATAACTTGGAAGTTTGCACAATATTTAAAGAATCTTCTGCTGTATTATTTTCGCAGGTGACGCTGCTTTCACAAATATTTTTTTCCACTTTTTCAACTTCTTCTACTTTTTCCACATTAAATAGTATTTGTTCATAAATAGATTTTTGTTTTAATACTCTGCGTTCAAAGGTACGCTTATTCATTTTTTACATACACTTTCTTTTCTTTTTCACTTAAAAAAAAAAAACAAATATTTTACTTGCAAGTCCACACAATGCACAAAACACAAATCATAAATAAGCATAATCAGATGCTGACAGTGTTACCAATATATGCGATTAAAAAAAAAAACAGTGCAGCACTTGCGAGTAGTCAAGCAGTACTCGCCGCCTACAACCATTGATACTACTGACTTTTTCATCAGTGTAGCACCACTCGCAGTTCATCAATACCTCCACCGTTTTCTGCAGGGTAGTTACATTCCTATCATTCATGCCATACCCCATATATATGCATAGGTGATAAAAACAGTAAAGGTAATGGTAAAATAAGTAACAATTGTCATTAGTGATTACGTCTAGTTGGAAAGCATGCATGTTCATGTTGTATATTTCCGATATACTAAATTGTTCAATTGAAAATTGTTCCATGCATGGCTATTTACAAAGTTTAATGGGTAAATGTTATTTCATGACTGGGATTTACAAAAATTGAATATCCTTTTTGATTCAACACAAAGAAAAACAATTGATCCATATCGAACCACATCAACCAGATTCAATAATTAAAAAAAAAAACAAATATTTAGCAGTTTACTAATAGAACATATCAGAAACCACAAATCACTTGGTTTATAAAATCGATCGTGGAATTGTTGAATAATAATATCAGCAAAGAAGCGAACTATGAGCAATTGTCTGAATGAAAGTTTGCTAAAATTGAATTTTATAAAAAGGATTAACAATGGTAGCCAAAGGACCAAGATCAACGAAATTACTGAACTTTAGATATCAGACATGCGAAAAGCTTGCTCGAAGTCGAGTAAAGAGTGAAACTTGCTCGAATTCGAGTAAAGAGTGACACTTGCTCGAATTCGAGTAAAGAGTGAAACTAGCTCAAAGTCGAGTACAGAGTGAAAGTCGCTCGATATCTCACGGAGTCGAGCGGTAGCAATCCTGGGAGTAGAAAAAACAAAATGAGCAAAACTCTATTTTTCGATTATGATCGATTGAGAGAGGGCATATTTTGCTCGTTTTAGAGTGGAAGCAAATTTTGTTCGAAGACCAGCACTTTTTTATTTTTGTCACATCACTGTTGTGTTTCTATATATATGTTTTAGCTACATCGTCAAACGAGACATAACAAAACGCTTTGAAAAGCATTTTCGCTAATCTGTACCAATAAAACATATAAAAGTGTTGTTTGTTTTGTATGAAAATTCCATCGGCAAATTGCTTTTGCTGGTTTTCTCTTTTTTGATTTTTGGCTCCCACTCCAAGTTTTCAAACAAAAAAAGTGAAGAGTAAACTCCATATAAAACTCCCACACTCCGAGTAATCTCGCTCGCCAACTAGTTTTACTCCCGAATGAAAACGAGCCAATCGGTGATCTGTGAAGTGAAGTTTTAAAATGAAAGTACATTGCTTCCGGTGTCACGCAGGTGTAGAAAGAAATCATTTGCAGCCACGACTGCACTGGTTTGTTGCCATCAAAATGTTTCCTCAATTGCTTTCTGCTCGGTAAAAAACGGAAAATTTTCAATTCACAAAATATTTGTTTTTTAATTATACTGTTCTTCCCCCATTAAACCATTTCCAGTTTGCCTTCAAATATTTCATGGTTTATCTCCACAGTGATCTAATTTATTATTTTATTATGAACTTATAATTTGAAGAAGGAAAAAAATGCTTTAAAATGTGAAAATTAGAATTAAAACTTATGGAACTAGTTCCTTGTTCCACTTAGCTATTCCTCTGTCGAAGTAAATTTTTTATTTGCTTACATTCAAGTAGCTAAATGGCACGTATTTTGTATTGCTTTTCCTCTCTCACCACAAATTTAAAGGTTGTTGAAGCATTGAGCAGTTTTGTTAAAGATCAAAGGCTTTGCGGAGAAATTATCTGTTACAAAACCAAAAACAAAGAGTAAGAACTTCTGCTGTATCAATTTGTCTCCATAAACAATATCCGTCAGGTTCTGATTAAAATTTTTCTACGTGCATTCCATTTTCAGAACTACCTTATATTTATTAATATCTCACTTAAAGAAAATCAAATAAAATTTTCTTTTCAAAAAATAAAAATAATGTTTTCTCATTTCCATATCCTCCCACCCAAGGTAAACTTAAAAGTAAACTCTTTAAACTACAAAAAAGGAATAAATCTTAAATTCCCTTAATTGGCTTTAAATGCCAGGTCACATGAAGGGTAAACCACAAAGGGTGGTGGAGGCGTTTCAATTAAATCGTCAATTAGATGTCACATACAACACTTCCCCTTGTTATTCTCGGTGGTGGTGGTGTAGAATGTGTGTGTATCGGTCTTAGCATTGGTGCGGTTGCATGTCAACAACTAACTTTTAAGTTATTCACAGATTTTTCTGTTTCGTTGGTGAGTGCCAACAATACTTACTGAGTACGACAAATTATTAAACTTAAAAAAAATGCAAAACAATATGTGCATATATGAGGAAATTTAATGCCAGGGCCTAAAGGAGTTAGTTCCATTTCTTAAACATATTATGTTGGGGTTGAACTTAATTGCTTTTAAGAATCATACCCTCCCTCGCATAGTCTAACCAATGCCAAACATTGCGTGTTAAAATTCCCTGAAAATCGTGGTGTACATGCGAGGGGGAATTGGTGGTTTACCAGGTAACTCATATAGTTAATAAAATCGTTTAAACAGGTGCTGGCAGTCACTGTTGACAGGGCCATCAATAAATGTTGACGTCTCGTTTTTATGTGTGTTCCTGTCACGTGGTGTGGTATACTGAGGGGATGTAAGAGATTTAAATTCATTACAACTTTAACGAAAACTTGCTTTGAATTTTTCATTATTTACAAAATATAATAAACATATACGCATCTCAACAAAAAAAAAGAGCAATTACAATGAAAAATCTACAACTTGAATATTAAGTCCATATTTCTGCCGAACATGCGATGAAACAAAAATACATATTTCATTCCTGCGAAATATGATTCCGAATCTTCTAAGGAACTATTTTCATTTCTTTAGAAATCACAATTTGTATTCTCCTGACTTACAACCAATTACATATTTTTATTGCAACACAATTTCAAAATAAGAGAACAACACCAACAAACATAGTTTTCCTAATTTCACTTAAAACCACAAAGTCAATAGATCACCACAAAGTAAAGTGAGGTTAAACCACTTTTCATTATTCTTATCACTTGGATTCATTAAAAATTTACCACCAGAATCGTTGTACCAAACATATGCATATATGTGTGTGTGGATTTGTGGGTCAGTGGACCCCTTTTAATCTTTGATGGTCACCATTCACATTAGTGTGGGTGGGTGTGTGTGTGTTATTGTGGGTGTTAAGTACAACTCATGTTTTGAGCACTTTCCACCGCCTGCCGCCACTATTTCCTGCCAAGGTGTTTCATTATTTTAAATGTGTTCCAAAATGGGTTTGTGCTCTTGTCGTCATTTTTTCTCTCTCTCTCTCTCTCGCTCTCCCTCTTTTGGTTTGCATTAATTTAAATTGTGTTATGTGTGCATTTGGCAAAAGAAGCAGGAGGGAGACCATCCATGTACCATAAATTTCCTTGCTTATACCCATGGAGCTGTGCTCCCATTGTCGCCTCCTTGTGTTTGTGTTCGGTGTAACAACAAACGACGACTTTAACATTTGTTCTTAAATTTTATGAGGGCTTAAATGAGACATTTGCCATTAAATGGTTGTCTATCTCTTGGTAGTTTTTTCCCACTTCTTTCATTCGTTATTCTAAAAAGGATGCCAAAATAAAAACTGGAGGCTA